TTATTATTATTATTATTATTATTATTATTATTATTATTATTATTATTTATTATATCTTTAGTGATATTCACAGCCTTTGGGGCTGGATGGTAGCTCAACAGCTCAAGTCCTAACCAAGGACCTAGGAACTGTGATGATGATGATGATGATGATGATGATGACTGTTATTGCTTTCAGACAGAGAATGGCCTGAGAGATAATGACATAAAACCTCGTGTCTCTGAATGGGAAGTCATCCAAGAATCAGGCACAAAGCTGAAACCAATGTATGGGCCTGGATATACCGGCATGAAAAACATGGGGAACAGCTCCTACATCAGCAGCGTATTGCAAGCCATTTTCAGTATTCCTGAATTTCAGAGGGCGTAAGTCGTTTCCAGGAGTTTCATAAAAAGTCAAGTTTTAACAGATCAGAAACAAGCAGATTGATGATGGCACTTTTGGGAAAAGGCCACAGAGATGGTGGAACGGTGTATACAGGTAGTCCTTGACTTACGATCATAATTGAGTCCCGATTTTCCATTGCTAAGTGAGACGGTTGAGTTTTGCCCTGTTTTTCAACCCTTTTTTCCTACAGTTCTTTAGTGAATCATGGCATGATTGCATGAATTTTGCTACAGTTCTTTAGTGAATCATGGCATGAATTTAATGATTGTTAAATGTACCTGGCTTCCCCATTGACTTTGTGTGTCAGAAGGTCACAAGAGAGGATCACATGTCCCTGGGACACTGCAGCCGTCATAAATACGAGCAAGGGTGGGATTCAAACATTCCAGCAATTGGTTTGCTGCCCGGTTGCTGTGTGGGCATGGCCATGGTGGGCGTGGCCTACCAGAACTTCTGGTATCAGCCTTCTCAAAGGTCTGGAGGCTTCCCCCGGCCTCTGGGAGGGAAAAAACAACCTCCCCCAGGTTCTGGAGGCCCAGAAGCCAGAAACAGGCCCATTTCCGAACTTCCGGTACTTCTGGGAGGGACATCTTTCACCCTCCCAAGGGTCTGGAGGCCTCCTCCGGACCTTTGGGAGGGCGAAAATAGCCTCTCCCGGGTCTGGAGGCCCTCTGGAATCCAGAAACAGGCCTGTTTCTGGACTTCCAGAAGGCCTGTTTTTCCCCCTCCCAGAGCCTCCTCGCACATCCTGCAGTTACCTCCATCGAAAATGGGCCGCATGGAGATTCCTGGGAGGGGAGGGAGGGGAGGGGCCAGCCAGCTGGTTGAAATACTGGTTTGGCACACCAGATGTAACTTTAACATCCGATTCTCCCGAACTGGTCCAAACGGGTAGAATCCCACCCCTGAACACAAGTCAGTTGCCAAGCGTCTGAATTTTGATCACAGGACCGTGGGGATGCTGCATCAGTCATAAGTGTGAAAAACAGTTGTATCTTTGAACAGTCACTAAACCTCAAACTCAAGACCCACGGGCCAGATCTGGCCCATGGGATGCTTAGATCTGGCCCATGGGGACACCCTGGAAACAGTGAAGTACCGGCCCTTGGTGCCTCTGCCAGCGAAAATGGAGCTCGGGAGGGCCGTGGCAGAAGGTTGCAGGAGGCCGTCATAGCCGAAAACGGAGCTTGGAAGTCCGTTTTCGCTGGCAGTGCTCGGGCCACTACAGGTGCCCCCGACCCTAGTGACATTGAGCTGGCCATGCCCCCTGGCCATGCCCCCCTGAGGTCAAACACAATCCTGAATGTAGCCCTCAATTAAATCAAGTTTGACACCCCTGCACTAAATGAACTGTTGTAAGTCAAGGACTACCTATAATGTGATGGAAGTAGACAATGTCTTTGCCTGTGGAGGATGGTTGTATTTAATTGTGTTAAAAGTTAGGCTTTTTCTAAATCTTTTTAAGATTTGGAGACCAATAGTTGGCATTCTTCCTTTCAACATCGTTACTTGTCTATGTGAGGGCAAACTTGGCAATATGAGAGGCTAATTCTTTGGCGACAATTGGCCTTTAATTCTGCATCTTTTTAAGAAATACTATTTCTGCTATTTACACATAACAGAATACATGAAACAGGAGGTTGCCATCAACTAGGAATGTTGAATGAATATTGCTGTCTCCGGACAAAGTTGTATTAATTGCCTTGTTATTTTCATATTTTGGGTGGTCTCTTGTGAAGATCAATTGCATCTATTCCAACAAGAGTAAAAGCACCCTCAATTTAACCTAATCCTAGAGGCAAGGTGGACAAAATCTGTGATTTTTCTTGTCAACTCTATAGATATACAGTAGCACGACTGCCTTAGGAATTCTGGGAGTTGAAGTCCATAGGTCATAAAGTTGCCATAGCTGCTTAGTCCTGTGCTAGCTGAAGATTATCAAAACATCAATAGAATACCAGCTTGACATGGATTTTACAAAGAGCTGAAATATTATACGGAACTTCATATAGTTTGGTATTGATCTGATAGTACTTCTGCGTATCATAAAACCAAACCATGAAAACACTGAGTCTCAAATATTATTGGGCCACAAATATTTTGCCAGTGAAATTAATTCTCCTTTAGACAGAAGTATAAAATAATGACTGCAATAGAGTCTTTCTGCTATTGTAGTACAAGGGTGATGAATGGGAGCAGGGAGGGCTTAATTTAGTTTCATTTACTTTATTGTCATTGCACCTCGAACAATGAAATCAAACACCATCTTCAGTGCACATCATGACCATGAAAATAAACACAAACACACATCCTTCACACTCCACACATTGAATTGAAAATCCCGTACCAACACTAATTGAATTGAAAAACACCATACCAACACTGCACTATACAGTAGAATTCAACAGAGCTACTGGCCTGGGATAGAAGCTGTTTTTCAGCCTATTTGTCCTTGTTTTTATTATCCTGTATAGACTGCCAGATGGTAATAGTTCAAACAAAGGGTGCCCAGGATGAGATGGTTCTTTGAGAATGTTTTGAACTTTCTTAAGGCAGCGGGAGCTATAAAGCTCTTCCAAAGAGGGGAGAGGGCAACCAATGATCTTCTGGGCAATGAGGTTAACCCTCTGGAGTGCTGTCCTATCTGCCATAGTGCAATTGGCAAACCATACAGAGGTGCAGTAAGTTAAGATACTCTCTATGGTGCAGGGGTAGAAGGTCACCAGCAGTTTTTCATTCAGTTGTTGTTTTCTGAGAAGTCTCAGGTGGTATAATCTCTGCTGGGCCCTTTTGACCAGTGCTGCAATGTGAGCACCCCAGGTCAGGTCCTCTTTTATGGTAACATCCAGAAACTTAAAGCTGGCCACTTGCTCCACTCGGTCTCCACTGATAAGCAAGGGCTGGATGTCTGATCTGTTCCTTCTATATAGTCCACTATAAGCTCCTTGGTCTTATTGGTGTTGAGGACCAAGTTATTGTCTCCACACCACGAAAGCAACCGGTCCACCTCATCTCAGTAGGCAGACTCATTCCCCCCCGAGATGAGTCCCACCACTGTTGTATCATCTGCAAATTTAGTAATAGTATTACTAGCAATGAGTGGGAATGCAGTCATGCACATAAAGAATCATGCACATATTTGAAAAACAAAGGCCACTCTTTTGAAGAATATTGTCCTGTGTCAAAGTTTGTGCCCATCTGCAAAAGAAGACAACCTTGTATGCATTATTATGGGATTCCAAAACATCTGCTTTTCACAAGTGAAACTTGTTAATATTTGTAATTTTTCAATATTTTCTCTTTTTCCCCATACATTAGGTATGTGGGAAATCTTCCAAGGATATTTGACTACTCTTCTTTGGACCCAACACAAGATTTCAACACTCAGATGTAAGTGGCTGATTACTTTTTAGCAGCGGTACCCAACTTTTCTCACTCTGTGGACCAGTGGCTGGAGGGTGGGTGGGGAAGAGAGGGGATGTTTTTGTGTGCATGTGCCACTTGCACAAATGCAGGTTCGTGTGCGGGCATGCTTGCCTGCCTCTTGCATGGCTCAGTTCCCAACAGGTGGTGGTCTGGTACCAGATCACAGACCGGGGGGCGGGAGTTGGGGACCCCTGCTTTATAGGATATGAAATAAAGCTTATTTGGTGGAGAGTTGATGGAGATTCTCAGTCATCCAGGTCATGGTTGTTGGATTACTGAATTTTGTCTTGATAGGAAGATGAGACATCCTGTCGTAACGAGTGGTGGGATTCAAATTTTTTTACTACCGGTTCTGTGGGCATGGCTTGGTGGGCGTGGCAGGGGAAGGATACTGTAAAATCTCCAGTCAGAGGTGGTATTTGCTGGTTCTCTGAACTACTCAAAATTTCCACTACCGGTTCTCCAGAGCTGGTCAGAACCTGCTAAATACCACCTCTCATACCCACAAGTCACTTTTTTTCGTGGCTGTTGTAACTACAAATGGTCCCTAAGCAAATGATTGTAAATCAAGGACTATAAGTCACATGGTCGTTAAGCAGCCTATCACATGACCTGACTTGATTTTACGACCATTTTAATGATGGCACAAAGTGAGTCACCTTGGTTATTAAGGGTTCCATCCTACTCTGGGTTCCCCAGTCCTGTTGGCAAAACCGGGTCTTCAAGGCTTTGCAAAAGAGTGTAAAATTGAGGGCCAGTCTAATCTCTGCAGAGATGATATTTCCAAAAGGAAGGAGCCACCACGGAGAAGGCCCTTCTTCTGGGTCCCGCCAGATGTAGCTCCTTAGGAGGCGGGCCTTGCAACATTCCTTTCCTCCCCACTCAAGTGGGTCAAGGGGATGTAACTGGGAAGAGACGGTCCCTCAGATATTTCACAAGAAGAGTTCTCCACTCCTCTACTTGTTGCAGAATACCTTATGCTGCCAGACTCGAAATTCTAGACCTAGAAAACCTAGAACTACGCCACCTTCGGTCTGATCTAAGTATAGTATATAAAATCATACATTGCAATGTTCTACCTGTCGATGAATACTTCAGCTTCAGCCATAACAACACAAGAGCAAACAATAGATACAAACTCAAGGTAAACCACACCAAACTTGATTGCAGGAAATACGACTTCAGCAACAGAGTGGTCAATGTCTGGCATACTCTACCTGACTCTGTGGTTTCTTCCCCAAACACTTTAACCTTAGACTGTCTACTATTGACCTCACCCCTTTCCTAAGAGGTCTATAGGGAGCGTGCATAAGCGCACCAACGTGCCTACCATCCCTGCCCTATTGTTTCTTTTCATTTTTCTTATATGAATCCATTTCATGTATTCATAACTATGTTTATACTTATACCTGTTATCTTATAATCGCTTGACAAAATAAATAAATAAAAATAATAATAAGCCGGTCCCAAGCCATGAAGGGCTTTAAAGGTGACAACCAGCCCCTTGATTTGCACCTGGAAGCAAATCCACCAGGACAAGATTCAGCATCTATATTTGAGAAAAGAAAGGTCACTCTTTTGAAGGCAGCAAAGTCCAGAAGACAGAGAGGACTGCTGGTTTGAAAGAGGGGCTCAAAGGGGCCATCTATGTTAAAACTGAACATCTCTCTCTCAGTAGAGAAGGGATATGCCACCACCTATCTGTTGTCTACAACAGTGGCCCCCAACCTTTTTTGAACCAGGGACCGGTTTCACGATTATTTATTCTTCCACGGACCGGTACCTGAGTAGCACGAGACTCCACCGCCATTGGGACGGCTCTTCGTTCGAAGCCGCCCCCCCCTTTGACGAAACTAAGGCGCGAGCACCCAAACGCCACTTTCCAACTGAAAACCCGGAAGCACTTTCCAACCGAAAACCCGGAAGCAACCGAAAACCTGGAAGCGCCATCGAAACAAGATGGCGGCGCCCAAGCTTTGCGGCCTGGTAAAAAATGATCCACGGACTGGTACCGGTCCAGGGACCGGTGGTTGGGGACCCCTGGTCTACAAGACAGTCCTTCCACAGACCAAGAAAGTTCCACATCTATTTTCTCTCTGATTCAGGTGACTCTGAGAGTATAGATAAATCCCCAACTGGCCTCAATGATTCTCAGAAAGCTAACAACCAACCTTCAGAGTGCTAATGACCAAAGAATATAAATCCTTCTATTCCCCACCATTCAGCCCGAACTGAAGAAGCTTCTGTTGACTCATCAAACGTTCCTAGTCCCTTAAACTTTGGCCCCTGTTTCTGCTAGGGAGTTTTAGCCTCAGATATTTTGTGGAGAGGTAGACCTTCTCCCCCACCTGGAATGGCTGCTGCGGGGCTCAGTGTTTCTCTACCTGTTGTTTTACAGGTCTGTGCTGCTTTAGCTAGCACTTTTTTTTTTAACATTCTCCCAAGTTGCTTTCAGTGTTGATGTCCACTCGGTCAGGCTGACTGATGAGAGGGCAATCCCTTGGACACTCAGGTATTGGGATGAAGTCCAATGATTTAATTAGGGCTGGAATCCTGACAGCTTCCTGAATAAGAAGCAAAACATTTTCAAAAGAAAGAAAAAGAAAATCCAGTTGCACTTTGAAAAGCACCTTTGAGACTTGAGGTTACAGTAGTCTTCTTGGGGATGCCTGATTAGATTTCCCGTTGACAGATGGCTGATTTAAACTTACTTTCTGCTTCCTGTCCTTTCTCCCTTTTAAAAGCTTATTGGGTAACTTTTGGTATGCTTTCTCTCTCTTCCCCTCCCCCTTTCTCCCTTGCTGCAGGGCTAAATTGGGACATGGACTTCTTTCAGGCCAGTATTCAAAACCTCCAGTGAAATCTGAGCTCATTGAACAGGTGATGAAGGAGCAACACAAGGTATTTGACCCACCGTATTCCGTTTGAGAATGAAGTAGAAGACAGATGAGAATAACCACCATCATTTTAGCAAGACAATCGTCTCTTTGAAAATCGCAGCTGGCAGTCAGCAGAAGTAGCCTGCAGTACTGCACTCTAACCACTGCGCCAGATAACAGATAATCAGATTTGGAAGGGACCTTGTAGTTCTTCTAGTCCAACCCCCCCTGCCCAAGCGGGAGACCCTACACCATTTCTGGTAAATGGCAGTCCAATCTCTTCTTGAAAGTCTCAAGTGATGGCGCTCCCACAACTTCTGTTCCACTGGTTGATTGTTCTCACTGTCAGAAAGTTTCTCCTTATTTCCAGGTTGAATCTCTCCTTCTTCTACATAAGCCACCGCTTATGTAGCTCGGTATTTTATATTGTAGTAAGAGAACCTTTCAAGTCTGCATGCATTTCCTCCTCCCTTACTTCATCTTTATGAGAATTGGGGATGGGTGACATTTTCTCAATTTATTTTCTTGGTCCGGACTTATGCCCTTCTTATCTGACTGTTGTTTTTGAAGTTGTCCAATGCTGTTGGGTTCAAGAATGGTTTCAAGACAGATGATACCACTCCCCTGCCAGAAGGAGACATTAACCAATGCATGGACACAACCTTAGGCCCCTTCCTAAAGAGGCCTTGACTAACCAGAAGAGCATGGGACCGGGAAAAAGGGGATTATTTGATAGGTAATCCTTGACTGCAGTCTGGACGAGAATTTCCATTGCTAAGCAAGGCAAGTTAAGTGAGTCACAGCCAATGCTATGATCTTTTTGCCATGGTTGTTTAGCAAATCGCGGTCATTGTTGAGTGAATCCGGCTTTCTCCTTTGACTTTTTTTGTCAGAAGCTGCCTGGGAAAGTCACAAATGGTGATCACATGACCCCAGGATGCCTCAAAGAGTCATTAACTACTGCATAGACCCAACCATATGCCACCTCCTGGAGGCCAGAACTCAGGTGGCCAAGCTCACAGCCGTGAGGACTTCTACTTTGTCAGGATTGACCAGTTCAAACTTGTCCCAGATAATGGCACAGATTTATATCAGTGGCTTCCAAGGGAATTCAGCCTGAACATTACTACTTATACAAAGAATAGTTTCATGCAGCATAAATGTAGATTTTCGAGGAAAAATGGGCGTGTTTAAAAGTTATGTCAGTTGGTATCCCAGGGCAAACTCCTACTTTTTTTTTTATTATTTTGGCAAAAAAGATGCCTTTGTATTCTGAAAGCATCCAGTGCAAAAGATCAGGTCCACATGTGAATGTCCAATTAAACTGATTTATTGCTAATCATGCCTCTGCAAAGGAATAGAGTGGTGCGGTGGCCTAGAGGTGGAACCCCCTTGCCTCACAATCAGGAGGCTGTGAGTTCGATCCCAGGTAGAAGTAGATATTTCTCTCTCTGGGCACATTGAGAATATATCTTGCTGAATATAACTCCGCATTGGCAACTGGAAGGGCACCCGGCCAGTAAACATTCAGCTCCATTCAGTTGCACAGACTCCACCCTGCAAGGGATTATGGGGTCGTTAAAAGAAGAAGAAGAAGAAGATGGTGCCTCTGCACAGGAATCTTCTCAATGCTAAATTGATGCTAGATAAGGACCAGTGGAATTCAAGAGGTGGGGATAGACTTAATCCACTTGTGGCTATGTAGAGATTCTAGGGTGATCCTTCTTTTGACCCCGCATCCAGATTCTGCTACTCTTTCTTCTATAGAAAGCAACACTGAGCTAGTACTGTACATAAAAGCTCTGGCCTGGGTTAAGAATGAAATAGGAAGCTATTTATGCCTGCCCTACTTTATAAACTTTGTTTACTGAGAAACCATTGACATAATATTTACATCTACTTAGCCTTTGAGTTCCAGGCAAGATTTTATTACCCCTAAATATGGAAACTCATTGCAGAGCTTCATATTTCACCTCTTACCTGCCTCTCTAAAGTTATTTATTTATTTATTCAGTTTTTATGGCTGTCTTCTCAACAAGTGACTCTGGGTGGGAGTGGGTCAAACAATCATTAAAAAAAAAATTCTTTTTTTAAAAAAAAAATCCCATCATACTATATTTCCCAAGAAAAATCTAACACAGACAACAACACCAGAACTATTTATAACTCTTTCTACAGACTGGTACCGCTTCTGAATTT